TTCCCCCAATAGGAACGCATTAAATGGAGTTTAATGCATTCCTATGGGTTCCCCCCCCCGTATAGCGACGAATCCGGATAGCGACGATTTATCCAGAACGGATTATCATCGCTATGCGGGGCACCACTGTACATCCTTTTGTATGGTTTACACTTTTAAAGGCTGAAACATCAATCAATATCAATGGTGATTTTATTTTTTATTTTTTGGAAATTAAGTATTTTGATTCCCCCCCAAAGGTCCCGAAGCTCCCTTGGGATTCCTTTCATTGTGGAGAAGGTGTTGGGGGCTGTGGAATGGGTGTATATGTCTTATTTCTGATCATCACTGCCACTGGTAAAATCATTCTGCAGGGACTGATTTTTGGAAATCAAGCAGTTCCACTGTCGTACAGCCCCAACAGCTTTTCCATGACAAAAGGAATCCCAAGAAAGACTCTAAACCCTTGAGGGAAATTAGAAATCTTTAAGCTCCAAAAAAATCACTATATCAGGCAAAATCCAAAGAGACAAAAAAAAAAAACAGGACAAAGACATGTGGCACCTTAAAGAATAACTATTATATTAGTGAGCTTTCATGGATCACATCCACTTCTTCAAACATATGGAATGACATGAAATACAGAATTAAACAACAGAATTCACAAGTAAAACATTCAAACTGTTCATTACATCTCATGTGCAGTTATTTATGGCTTATATTTGGTGTTAGGTTCTATTGTAAACAATCCCACAGGAGACAGAAAGGAGATAACCAGGCAAGAGCGAAACAGAGGCGGGAAGAGGGGTTTGTGTTCTTATGAATAGCAACTGTGAGCAGTAACAGGAATAAAGGGCATCAGTCAAAAACACACGAGGGGCAGAAGGGAGAAGAAAACATAGAAATAAAAGTAAAAGAAGATAGCAGAGGAACCATGTGTGTTGGTATGGAGAATAATAACAGTTTCTACCTTTGAGCCTTGTAAGGAAAGATGAGTCTGGGAGTTGTGAAAGAAAATAATGGTAGATAACAGCATAATTATTACATTTGGCAGTGACTTAAGAAACCTAGGCTTATATTCAGTCCCTTAATATGGGTGTCCATCATGTGTGTACATTTTATCTCAGCTGTTTTCCTCTGTATTCTTGATCTGTAGCGTTTCATAGCAATTCTGCTCTTTGAGAGAGAAGAGGTACATATGGGCCAGTGGCTATGTGGACTTGGTTTGGAGGAATGCTTCTCTTCCAGATAATGAACTAGATTGTAGAATTAACATTAAGTTCCATATTAAAAGTAGCAGAGAGCATGTGAGCTGGAATTGAATGAATGAATACTTTATTACGGTCAAAGACCAGTAAAACCAAATCAATATAAAATAGATACATATAATTGTAGTTTCGTAAAGTCAGTCAGGGTAATAAAATTCCATTAAAACATGATAAATCAATCCCTTCTTTCCAGTTAATAACATAATATATCCTTAATATAAGTAAAACCTCCGCCAGTGTTATACTAAAAGCCTTATATTATCCATCTAAAATCACCTACCCAAACATCTGATTACGAATAACCATTGCTGCAGCACAGAATTTGGCCACTTGTCTTGTAATATAAGGGGTATTGTCAGAGAGTAGCAACTGGACATAATCCTCCTCTGATCTCCCAGGAGATTTACAGATAATAAGTGATAAAAGCTCCATACAAAGATCCAGATAGCAAGTACAGAAAAGGAGAACATGACCAACTGATTCAACTTTATCACTATTACAAGGGCAGAGACAATCTGATGTAGGCAGACCTCGAACTCTTCACTCCAGAAGCTTAGAAGAAAATACATTGAGCCTAGCTAGCATAAAAGCCCTTATGGCATTAGATGACATAGTGCTGGCTAAATAAGAGGAGGTGATAAAAGCAGATTTCTTAAGAAAATTATATTTCCCTAACTAGCCAACATGGTCCTGTAGTTCACTGGTTCTTAACCTTGAGTTACTCAGGAGTTTTGGACTGCAACTCCCAGAAGCCTTCACCACCAACTGTGCTGGCTGGGGTTTCTGGGAGTTGCAGTTCAAAAACATCCGAGTAACAAAGGTTAAGAACCACTGCTGTAGTTCATTTTTCCATACCCTTAACTTCACCGCTTTGATGGCATCCTTGAGACCCATTGCTATAAATATACAGTACTTGGGGGGGAAGCCAATTTTCGATAACTCTTCAGTTATATGCTTCTTCCACTCCAACTGAAAGGAATCTAGTAGGATCAGTGGGGCCAAGCCTTCTAATGAAAAAAATCAGTTTAAGCCAGTATTTCACCATAAGGACTTTAGCCCGTGCTTTAATGGATATTAACCCAACCTCTAAACAGAGAGCTACATTGGAAGTACAAGGTGGAACTCTAAGAATGGCTCTCGCAAATTTGGTCTGAACAATCTGAGCTGGAATTAGTAGCAGAACACTATTCACTTTGTCGACGTGTATTTCTTTTAATTCTTAACAGAAAATATAATAAGCTATTCCATATGTTTTATACATACACAAAGTACCGATAGCCTTTAACTTTTTGGCTGATGGCTCAGGATCGCTTAGAAAGCTTGAAGGATCAAGAAGTACCATTGTTGCTCAGAGGCAAGTAATGTCCAGAAATCTCACTTCTGGACACTGAGATTGTGAGTTCTGCCATACAGCTACTCAGTTTCTGTACTTTAGAACTAGAGCAACCCATTGGACCCTGTTGCAAGAGGAAGCAGTGGCGAAAGTAAGAATATTGACTTATCTTAAAAGCTGGAATATCTGTTTGTCTTAAAACAGATAGTTAATACCTGAATACAGCTACTGCACATGTTTGTTCAGTTGTCAAACAGATGGTAGCTGTGTTGGGGAGTTCCAGGTGGCAAAACAAGCTTAGAAAGAATTCAGAAAGGTTGAGACATTGTTGCTATAGCGTGTAAGAACATGTTGCCCCATTATGGACTGTTTCTAATCCATCACTGCCATTATTCACAGACACAATGCTTACTCAGACAAACGCAGGCTGACTTTCTAAAGGTACTGAGCAAAGTGCTCCTCTGTAATCAGGGCAGGTTTTGTTGGGTTCCAGTTTGGATGGGAGACTTAATTTTATGCCATAGTACTGAATATGTAGATGGCTGTAAAAGAATGTCACAAAAGGAGAGTCTTGGGACGTTTATGGAAATCCATGGATAATGCTATTGTTCCAAAGGTGATGCAGTTATTTAAACGTCAGCCTATGCAAATATTTTTGGGCCTGAATGCACAAACTGAAAAAAACACACGAGTGGGCGGTGGGCGGTGGTGGAACTGGAAGTGGCGGCGGAAGTGAGAATCCCGGGCACAGAGGTGCCTCGAGACCCCACTCTGGATCCGCTGCCAGCTGCTCCAGATCCTGGCCCACCATCTGTCAAAGTGCCAGCACCATGGGTGAAATGAGTATAATGCAAGCATACATAGGTAAAGGTTCCCCATGACATTTAGTCCAGTTGTGTCTGACTCTAGGGCGCGGTGCTTATCCCCATTTCTAAGCCATAGAGCCAGTGTTTCTCCGAAGACAGTTTTCGTAGTCACGCGGCCAGTGCGACTAGATACGGAATGCCATTACCTTCCTACCGTGGTCATACCTTCCCACCTAGGTAGCATTTAAACTTGTTTATTTGTGTACAGTATTTAGCTTTTAACTTTTGTTTTGTTTTGAATTAAGTAATATGTGGATTATTCCTGTTTCTTGGATGAAGAATGGAACTATGCAGCCTTTAGTGTGGCTTGATAAAAGAAGCAGTAAGTATTTTTCCCCTTGACTTGAAGAATGAATGTGCTGTTTGCAATGTATAATTGTAAATATTCATAAACATAAAGTTTGACTCTTTATTATTATTATTATTGTTGTTGTTGTTGTTGTTAGTAGTAGTAGTAGTAATAGTAGTAATAGTAGTAATAGTAATAGTAATTTAATAATTTACAGTTTTTTAATGTGGGTGCATGATATGCAGAAGTACCAAAAAATCCCTTAAAACAACCAATGTAAGGGGCTGCCTTCCCTCAACGCCTCTCCCCCCCCCAAAAAAAGTCCAGTTAAAAAAACAACTATCTGCTGGAAAAAAAAACCTGAGAGGAAGACGAAATAGAAGGGGACCATCCTGGAAAAGAGCATGGCTGGCTGCAGGGTGGATTTGATTTAAACCAAATTTATTTAAATCAAAATGATTTAAATCACAATTTAAATTTTAAAAATTGATTTTTTTGACCATTTACATTTTTTAAGAATCCATTTTAAAATTTAAGTCATGATTTAAATTGCAATTTAAATCAATTTGCTTTTAAAAAAATCATTGATTTTTATCCACCCTGCCTAGCTGGAACCTTGAACCTCTATACTGTGGTCTTCCTCTCCCTGTCATCCTTCCTCCAGTTACAAGACTGTCTTTGTTGAATGTTTGATGGCCTTCAGTTATTGTGCTTGTGAACTTCTTTTCTGAGATTCATATTCCTTCTGTCAATGCTGCGTAGAATTTGTAGGGCAGGAGATGGCCCCTTTCCTTTACATACAGGTCAACACTCTGCTGTGTTGCCCCGTAGACTGTTACAAAGACAGTGATGAATACAAGCACAAATTTTTATAACTGTAGCTCCCAAACAACCTCTTTCCTATCTGTTCTGGGTCTTGAATGGAATTGGGGTGGAAATTGTTGCATAAAAACAAAAGCCATTCACTACTTGCCTCTGCAGTTTCTCCAATTTCACAGCTCATAACCCAGCTAGGTGTGAGTGTCTATTGAAAGACATTTTAAAAATTCCAGGTAATTATAGCAGATAGATAGCACAAATATAATTTCTTGTAAACAATTAAGTTTTAAAAATTTAAATTGCATTTTAAAAATTTGAATTGGATTGTTTCATTTTTATTAAAATGTTTTTTTAAAGATATGTGATAGAGCTGTAATGTAAAATGTGTTATAGTTCGAAATTCCTCATTATGGAATAGGAATTATAAATTCTGCTTCTCTATTATAAGACACTGGACAGAATTCTGTTAGTTACACCCAAATCCATCCTCATAATAAAGAGAATGTTTTGGGAAAATATAAGTTATAGTGTAGAAGCATTTTTAAAGTTTTTGCTGCTAATCTACTCCTTGGAAGTTTCTTGGGACTCTCTCTTTTTTTATACCCTGAGTCCTCACATATCTTTACCATCCCATGCTTATATTTAAGGGACAGTAATGGACATGATGCCTTACAGATTTATGTAGGAACATAATCCAGTTCAGTACACAAGCACTACTGATCATATTAATGTGTGTGTGCTGGGGGGGGGAATCATCCTAGTAGTTTTTGATACTTTTGTGCATTGTACCAACTACTGCTTTGTATTTATGTTTTTGCATCTTGTATTCAAAATAAACCCACTGTCCTCATGGACATAGTTTTGCTTAAACATAACACCTTTAAGTTTAGATCACCATCTTATTTTTTCATCATGATCCAACAGAAATATTCCCTGAAATGGTAATATCTGGTTCAGAATATGATTGGATAATCTTAAATGTAAATATGACTGGTTACTACAAAATTAAATATGATCAAACTTACTGGAGAAGACTGGCTACAGTGCTTGAAAATGACCCGAAGGTAAAGTATTTTGTGTTGTTTCTGAGTCACATCTTTAATGGACAACTTAAGCTTGTTTCCTATGTAGTGCATACTTGAGAGGATCATACAATAAAGTGGCACAGATGCTGGGGAACACCAGAAAGACATGATCCTGATCAAGATCTTTGAAAGTGACATAAGTAAAAGCAACAGGAGTGGAGCAGGCAATACCGCATAGAACCTTGGATGCACCTCTGTTTATAGTTGGCAGATAAGAGGAAATAACACAAAGGCAATGCACAAATATTTTCCTCCATAAAACAGTCTGTGTTTACTTCCATTGTCATGGCAAAATCCTAGCCATCTGGGCTTGCTTGCTTGCTATAAAAAATGGAAAAGGGGAAGGCATAAACTAACCCGACTTATCTCCACTATATTTTTTGTGCATATTTGTATTTTAAACTTCACATGCACAGCTAAGAATTTATGGCTGGAGGAATATATCCCAAGCCCAAGACAGGAATTCTTAATACATGTATTTCTCCATTTTTGATTTTGAATAATTAAAAATCATTTTAGTTAAAGTGTGCATGGGTTTGCATATTGCAAATACTTTTGAATATCTTGAAACACAGGAATGCTTTGCTTCATAATAAGCTGTTTACATCTATCAAACCCATGGATCCTCTCTGCAGGCAATTCCTGTTGTCAACAGGTTACAGTTGATGGAGGATGCTTTCAATCTGGAAGGGTAAGCATATCTGTTATAGACAGGTTTAACTGCATTTATAACTGAGCCTTAAATAGTCTCTCCATTTATCTCATTTTCTTTAAAAATACTGTCTCTTTCCCACACAGCTTCTAACAGTACCATTTTAGGATGGGGTACATCACCTTTTCTAGACCTTTAACTGATCAAATTGACTGCCCAAGAAAACTAATGGGGAAGTGGGTGTGGATTTGACAGCAAGTGGTGAACAGATAAGTTGCTGCTATTCCCACAGATATTTTGAGTAACCTTATAGCCATTATAGCAAGAGGACCCGACACAGTCTTTACCCCTCAACAGCAAGTGGTGAACAGATATTTTAAGTAACCTTACTTAATAGCCATTATAACAAGAGGACCCGACACAGTCTTTACCCCTCAGCTTACTCGCTGACAAATGTAAATTCATGATTAATAATGATAACAATAATAATAATAATACTTTTAGAACTGCACAGCTGGAAGGAAACCTGTTGGTCACAAAGTCCAAGCCTTTTCCAGGAAGCAGAATGGGGCATCAAACCCCACAGCCAGATTCCTCAATCACTGAGCTATCCAGCTAGTACTTGTACAGTACACAAGAATGAACATACTGACAATGGGCTAAATCTAATAGTTAGTCCAAATCAGAGTAGACCCATTGAATCAGTGGCCAGAATTCTGCTTGTCACTGTGCAACATGAAGTTAGACAGATACCTGTATATCATTTCTAGATGTTACACCCGGGCAACACAGATTGTGCAATTCAGTTGTGCAAATGGTTGCACAGTTATTTTCATGAGCAATTGTGCAATGTGCTGGCTGATGTACTTCATGGATAACACTTGTACCTTGGCATGTTGCTACTACCATGGACACAGTATTGAATTGTGCCCATGTAGCTGCTCAACAGTGTTTTAGTCAATGAGACTTATTTATATTAGATTGTCTGCATCAACACATCTTGAATCTGAACTGCTGAACAATCAGATTGAGGGTGCCCACTTAGACTGTTCTGTTCCCTTTGTTGTTTTTGAGCTTTAGAAACTGCATCCATGTACACTAACACTAATGAATGATTCTCCTGCTGATTCCCTCCTATGAATGACCCAGGATGAGATTCAGTCAAGCTTAGAGGAAGACAATGAAAATGAATGGGACTAGTTAATGATGATATAGTATCACTGATATGTTACGACTGGACATTTGAAACCAGTCCATAATTTATAGCACAATTTGTTTCTCATTAGTATGTCCCTCAAAATTGAGTGAACTTTTTCCCTAGGTAGTGATTACAGTTTTGCAGTACAGTTGTGCCTTGGTTGACGATGTTAATTTGTTCCAGCAAAATCGCTGTAGAGCGAAAACGTTGTCAAGCGAAAAAAAAGCCCATTGAAACGCATTGAAAACCGTTTAATGCATTCTAATGGGCTGAATGCCTGCTTGTCCAGCGAAGATCCTCCATATGGCGACCATTTTTGGTGCCTGTAAAGCAAGGAATCCGTCCTAGAAAACAGGCGGGGGGCCATTTTGAAAACCAGACAATCAGCTGATCGTCGTAATGCGAAGAATAGGTTCCCCGGGGCCATTTTGAGCAGCCGGCGGCCGTTTTGAAAACCAGACGACCAGCTGATCGTCGTAATGCCAAGAATCAGTTCCCGAAGCAGGGAACCGATCATTGCAAAGTGAAAAAATCCCATTAAAACATCGTTTTGCGATCACAATTGCGATAGCAAAAACATCATTGTGAAGTGGATTCATCATTATACGGGGTAATCATTAAGCGGGGCACAACTGTACAAACCTAAGCAGATTTGGATCTAACTGAAGAGTGCTGAGGATGGCAGCTAGGTGCCCTAACATGAATAGTTGTCATAGACACATTTAACCCACACTCTAAATAAGTACTTCTTGCCCTTTCTGTAGTCTTTTCTTGTTGCTGCGCTTTCTCTGCTCCTGAGCTCAGCCCACCTAGCCTGCCTTCTCCAGTCTCAGCCTACTTCCTTTCCTAATGCTACTTCCAGTTCAACTTTTTCCTCCTATGAATTGCCTACAGGAATGCCACTGCTTGGAAGTCTTCGGACCGTAAGTATATCTTGCTGCCTGCTCCTCCTAATTGTGCTAGTATTCTCATCCTTCTAAACAAAAGAAATTAAAGGGGGATTTGCTGTTTCACTGGAAGTATGATCACCACTTTGACTTAAACGACGTTGGATGTAGGAAATAAGCAATTTTTCAAAATGTTGTGTAATGCTTCTTATTTATATGGCCACACATACACAATGTTTCCTCTTTGCCAGTGTTGGCAAACTCTAGAATTTCCTTGCATGCCGCAATGTGCTTTGGCTACCCTGCTTATCATATAATGCTTCTTATTTATATGTTTCCAATTTGCCAGTGTCAGCAAACTCTAGAATTTCCTTGCATGCAGCAATGTGCTTTGGCTACCCTGCTTATCATTTGTAAATAGAAACCGTTAAATTTGTAAATGCCATAAAGGAGGCTATCATTCAGTTAGCAGAATATTCTTCTGTGAGTTTATTTTGAAGTGCTTAATATTAGGGAGTTCAAAAAATAAATGTTTCCAAGAGAATTCTGGATCTAATGGTAGACCTTTGTTTCTAGGAAATAAATAATGGTGGCATTGTTTCACTGACTTTTCAACCAGAAGAGATGGGGTGGGAACAGTATTCGTTAGCATCACCAGTTTCTACAGTTTGAGAAGTGAGGTGAAGCATTAGGACATTGCAAGGTCTAAAACAAACAAACAAAAAATCAACCCATAAAATTATGGCTTGATTTGATCAGAATCTCCATTTTTCAAATATACAGGACCTATCTGAGAGTGGCAGATTAGAACTCTGGAGACCAGGGTTCAAATTCCTGCTCACTGGGGGAGTGGAACTGATAAAAGTCTTTAAATATCTCACCTTGAAAGCCCTGTTAGGGTTTCTGTAAGTTGGTTGTAACTTGATGGCACATAAGTAACAATCTGAGGAATACATAATGTACCTTGAAGGGAAAAGTTTTGGCTCTGCAGGAGGGACACTGAGAGCAGATCAGGGGTGGGCTGTTTTAAACAGACCACTCTGGTGGGTAGTGGGGAGGATAGGATTAGTGAAATCCAAAGGGACACCCGGGTAAGTGGTAGCTCATCCAACATCCCTCCAGTGTGGATCATGGGATTCCATTGCTAGGGTGGGATATGTGCAGGGGGCCGGCCCTGGCTGTTGTTTGCCTAAGGTCACCATGCTTGGGAAGGTGGCGGCCTGGGAAGATCACCCATGCGGGAGATGGGCTGTAAGTATGACAGCACAGATCTAGGGTTTCAGACTCACCTGTGCCAGGGCAGGAGATGAGATCAGGAGGGACCTGGTAACTAGAAAAATAACTAGAAGCCAACACAGATTTGTCAAGAACAAATCCTGCCAGACTGATCTGATCTTATTTTTTGATCAGATAACCTCCCTGACAGACAGAGGGAATGCTATAGACATAGTATATCTTGACTTCAGCAAAGCTTTCGACAAAGTGCCCCATGATACCCCGATTAGCAAGCTAACTAGGTGTTGGCTTTTTTGTTGAAGCTGTGCTGATGTTTGTGGATTTCAGTCACTTCCCTGTGTAGTCTAATGTACAGTCCAGGTTGTTTCAGGGCATCTTCAGCTACTGCTCATTTTTCCGGTTGTTTTAGTCTGCAGTGTCTCATGTTCTTTGATTCTGGTGTGGGTGCTGCATGCTGTGGTCCCAATATATACCTGGTCACAACTGCAAGATATCCTGTATCCTCCTGCAGTGGTGAGGGGGTCCCTTTTGTCCTTTGCTGACCGTAACATTTGTTGTATTTTTGTGGTGGGCCTGAATACTGTTTGTAGGTTGTGTTTTTTTCAAAAGTTTCCCCATGCGGTCTGTAACCCTTTTGATGTATAGCAGAAATACTTTATTTGTGGGTGGCTGTTTTTCTTCTTCAGTTCGGTGCTGTTTTCTCAGTTTGATGGCTCTTGTGATTTCATTCTTGGAATAGACATTTGCCTCTAGGGCCCAATTCAGATGGTTGAGTTCGGTGCTGAGAAATTGAGCTTCACATTTGTGAAGGAGGTCTGAAGGAGAGTGTGCCATCTAACAAGACAGAGGGTGTGGTGGGAGGATCAGAACAGGAGAGCATTGGTGTAAAGTTGGACTCAAGGGAAAACATCACCAAGGAGGGAGGGAGAGAGGGAGTTGAAAGAAAAGGGAAGGTGGAAATATGTCTAGTAGAGGAGAGCGGGAATTGAAATGGGGAGGAGCGAGAACTGTCAGTTTAGGAGGAGAGTATAAGTAGCCAAGGCGAGCAGCGGTTCGAGGTAGAATTGGACATGTGGAATCGCAAAAGAGAGCTAGAGAGACTGTGCGAGTATGAGAGAGTGAAAACCCAGGAGTTGTTGAGGGACTTTCCAAATCTGAAGTTAGGAGAATTGCTTCCAGATTCCCCACTTAGAGAGTCAGGAGAAGTGAAATATGAAACCTTGGAGTGGTCAGTGATCGTATTCCCCAAGAGAAAAGGGAGAGGATGACAGGTGATAAGACCAGATTCAAGATTTAATACTCCTCCACCTGAGGGGGATTGGGCCCGGCATCCATGCTGCGGCAACATTTGCGCAGTGAGGAGTGCACCCTTCCGGAGACCCACCGACGCGGAGAAGTTTGGCCCAGTACACCTGTGAGTTTAACTGACTTTGGGCAGGAATTCTCATCGGACAGTTATGGCTTATTGCCTGAATTAAGTTGTTTTGACCCAATTATGAACAGCGATGATCCTTGTATGAGCAATAAAGACAAAAATGTTAAAGTTAAGAAGACATCTTCTGTGATATTTCCTATGCAAAATGAGTTGTCAAAATTTGAAACTGAACCCGATCACAACAATTTGGCCTTCCTTTAGTAGATGTCATGGTCATATGCTAACATGACCTCCTATTGGGATACAAGGTCTACAGAAAACCCACCCACACAGACCGGTCCCTACACAAAAACTCCAAACACCACCCATGACAAAAAAGAGGCATATTGAAAACACTGGTAGACGGTGTAAATCAGAACTGTGAAACTCAATTTCTCAGCACTGAACTCAACCATCTGAACGGAGTTCTAACTCCTGTCGTCTGAAGATGCCGGCAAAACGTTAGGAAGAAAAACCTCCAAAACATGGCCAAACAGCTTGAAAAACCTACAACAACCATCAGATCCTGGCTGTGAAAACCCTTGAGAATAAATTGGAACAAGTTCAGAGGATGGCAACAAGGATAATCAGGAGGGTTGGAAACCAAGCCCTGTGAGGAAAGACTGAAAGAATTGGGCATGTTTACCCTTTCCAAAAAAAAGACAGAGGGGTGATATGAGGCCAGATTTCAATGGAATATCAGGAAAAACTTCCTGTTAGAGCAGTAAGACAGTGGAACCAATTACCTCCAGAGGTGGTGAGTGTTTCAACGCTGGAGGCATTCAAGATGAATTTAGACACCCGCCTGGCAGATATCCTTTGATTTGTATTCCTGCATCGAGCAGGGGGTTGGAATTGATGGCCTTATAAGTCCCTTCCAGGTTCACTATTCTATGATTCTATGACACCTAGTGTCCTGATCCAGGTTTCTGTAGTACAGTAGGCCCCTCTGCATGAATTGGGCGGCACAATTTAAATGATTAATAAAGTTGTGTCCCTAGCTAAATCTATGACAGTATCTCATGTCAGTATTCTGGGAATGGGTGGGCAAAAGTAGGATAACAACATATATCTGCAAAATCATTGAGTTCTCCATATTTGCTAACACCTGTTTAGGGGTTGGTGTCAGACTGATCACAAGCAGCTGGTAAACAGTGTTGTGGGTATGAAAACTGTTCTGTGAAATACTAATTCTGCATTATATCACATTATGTCCTTAGTACTAAAAGAAAGTTCAAGCTAGTCTCAGAGTAAATCTTTAGTGTATGCCCATACTCAGAATTTTCATTCTCTGTTAGCAGGGGCATCTAGTCTGAAAATGTCCCGCCTTAAGGCTGCTGAAAGACAGAAAGCGTATTTTGAAAGAAACCTTGAATGATAAGATGTTATTTGTCACAAGACTATTTATTTCCTTTCAGTTATTATTTAATAACTATTGTGAGCTTTTTTCCTTCACTTCTTTATAGAACTGTTGGTAAATAAAGCATACATCTGTTGCTTACTATCTTTTAAATAGGTCCGGTTACACCTCATTTGATACTCTACTATATTTAACTAAGTATCTTGAGAAAGAAGATGATATCGTAGTATGGGGTTCAGCACTGAATAAACTACAAGTTTCTGACTGGGAGCTTATTCTGAGTGATTATGAATTATATCCTGTTTTAAAGGTATGTACACTCCAAAACATAGTTGATGGGCTATATACAGCATCATACAGGAAGATATTTGCTCACAAGGGGGTTTCTGTTGATCTAGTTTTTCCCTGCAGCATCTGCAGAGTAGATTTGGATTGTAGATGATCCTACAAAATGGAGAGGAGGAGAAATCCACAGGCAATTCTGTTCTGCTTGCATACAGACAATGTTGGATGTAAATCTATTAAATGAAAATGCCATAGATAGACAACTTCTGATTGTATGTGTTCCATTTGAATTTTGAAACGTTTAGTCGGAACTCTCCACGATGACCTGTCCGTCTTGGGTGTCTCTGCACGGCATAGCTTCTCTGAATTACTCAAGCCCGTTCTCCACGACAAGGCAGCAATCCATGAAGGAGTTGAAACAATATACAGCAAATATCTAAAGGGTTCTTTGTGAATGTGTTTTGGAAAGCTATTTCTAATCACAAAATGGACTTACTTCATGGGATATTGATACAAAATCATGACCTTGTGGTTCCTTGGCTACACCTGATTATCACTGACCCCCCCCCCTTTTTAAAAGATCATATAATTCATATCATAATACTTTGCAATGAAAAACAATTATGTCCAAGCCCAAATGGGTTTACAATATAATATAGATGATGAAAATTCATATTCTGTTCTGTTCTGTTATATATAGAATATAAACAGAAAAACAAATGATAATATTAATAGCCTGGCTACTTACGGTACCTTAAATGCCTAAGGTTGCAATTGATTGTATACTTAACCTGATAGTAGGTCCCAAATAACACAATAGTACTTAACTTCTTCTTTGTGGCCTCTGTGAATGCACACAATAGGTTTAAGTCTGCACTTGCATCAGACTCCTCGGAACTTTCTAGAACTTAAGAAAAATAAAACATTGATTGAATGTTGCCCCTATAGCGCATGCTCCACCCGCCCGAAGCCTCAGTTCCAACAATAGTACTTACTTTTGTGTCCATACAAACATAATTAAGTTGTTAATCTTGGAAAGTTTCTTAAGTGAGGGAAAAGAAGACATGTCTATATATGATACTTTTTAAAAAAGTAAATTAATACTTTATTTCCAAAACTAATAATAAACCTTATATTTCTGTCTTACTTTGAATATTTCAGAAGAAATCTGCATGATAAGTCTAACGGAACACATGGAATAAAACATTGCTTTGCTACATGTTTTTAAAGCAATATTTTATTTATTTGATTTTATTTAAATTATTTATATATTGATGGTTGTTGTGGGTTTTTTGGGCTCTTTGGCCATGTTCTGAAGGTTGTTCTTCCTAATGTTTTGGCAGTCTCTGTGGCCGGCATCTTCAGAGGACAGGAGTTAGAACTCTGTCTGGGCACAGACAGTTCTGACTCCTGTCCTCTGAAGATGCCGGCCACAGAGACTGCCGAAACGTTAGGAAGAACAACCTTCAGAACACGGCCAAAGAGCCCGAAAAAACCACAACAACCATCAGATCCTGGCCGTGAAAGCCTTCGAGAAGACATATTTGTAAATTGTTTTTCTACTCACCAGGGCTGTCAAAGTGACGTACAATTTTGCTTATCAAAGAAAATCAGAACAAAATAAAACAGAAAGAAAAGTATAGTGTGATTTTAAAACAAATTTAAAAGCCAACATTTTGGAAAAGCAATATAGTTTATACTGCCTGTCTAAACTCAGTAGGGATTGAGGCATCTGATCTCCCTTAAAAGAGATCAGGTGGAGTGCTAGACGGTAGAATGCTAAAGTAGAAAACCCCTTGTTCTATATACTAATCTGTGTACATTCCATTGGTGGTGGATGGTGCAACAGATCCTCTGAATGAGAATTAAAATCTACAGGGTGGCTTCTAATCTTGGACACAGCCTTTTAGTTATTCTGGCCCAAACCATATAGCACTTTATAAGTGAAAATTGGCACCTTATATTGGGCTCGGGAGGGAGGGGAGTTTGTGCAAAGCTTGCTTAACTTGTTGTGGCTAATTACAGCTAAATGACAGGGTGCCAAAGTGCATCTTGGTGGCATTGTGGAGCCCATAACTGTGATGTGACTGAGACACAATCTGGCACCTTGTCAATTAGCTGCAGTCAGGCGTGGCAAGTTATGCAGACCTTACATACGCACCACTAGGATTCTGGCCATTGTAGCTGATTCAGTATCAGTGATATACAGACTCCCAGGTGTGCACCAAACAGCTTTCTTACTGCTACATTTTATACTATTTAACATTAGGTTTGGAGATATTTTCGCCAACAGAGACATTATTGCCTGAAGAAAAGCAGATATACTGCAGATGTTCTGGAAAGAGAGAGAGAGGGACGATAGTGGAATATTTTTGAGGATCTGTCCCTTTATCCCACTCTGACACCATGATTAAATCTTGATTAAATGGTTAAATATGCACTCCAAATCAAAGGAACCTATTTAAAACGTAGTGTTAATAGTCTGAACTGTGTTAATGTTAACATTATATTGTAATTTTAAAATAATTTAATGTCATTTCTTTTTTCCAAAGAAATATTTCTTACCACGAATTTTGCCAATATTCCATCGTTGTGCACATCTCCTTCATCAACATTTTGACGTGGAGCTAGAGGAAGATGATATTGTTATGTAAGTCCTTATATATTTGAAAAAGAAAACAGTAGCATGGATTCGTTTAAGAAGGAGAAATACTGTAGCATGTGGCCTTGTGTGATCTGCTTGAACTTGTAGTGCATTGAGCTAAATCAGTACCAGCAATGCTTTGAGTGACTTGTGCAGGCATTATGACTCTTGAATTCAAGATTATTCACTAGCCTTTTATAATTCTCAGAGCATCTGAAAAGTATCATCATGCCTTTCAATGCCATAGGTATAGCTCCTGTTTATGGGGCTCTAATTTTTCATCTCATTATGGGGATGGTTACCTTACTCAATTCCCATTGTTCTTATTATCACTCTCCATTTTGTCATGATCAACATGGATGAACTTGAAGTCCATTGTGCCACTGATATTCTCTACAATACCATTGCTCAGCATATTACTACTGGTCTCCTTACTGACCTTGGCACGCTTGTGCCCCTTCAGCACCGAGGTCTATGAGCAATCATGTCTTCCTATATTTCTTCCCACTTAAATAGCATGGCCTAGCCACCGCCTTAGATCAGAGCGATACTGTCTGTTTAATCAGTCCTATGCATGTTTTAGTGGCTATAGTGGCTCAATCTGTACTACAAATGTCTGCCTCTTGGTTTCTGTGTTAAATTTGGCACCATTCCAGTTTTGATATCATATTTCTATATTCTTCCATACCATGTAGTTTTATTACTAGAATAAAGCCCATTGTGCTGATATAGGTTTTATCATTGCCCTCAATGTTGGACTCATATACAACCATCAGTAAGCATTAGCAACAATAGCAGTTTTCTCAGCATCCTCCTTGTGTCTGGGATTTTGATAGAATGTTGTGCTCCATCTGTTTTCATTAGGTCAGACTTCTTTTCCTACAGAACTGCTGCAGGGAGGTCAGTCTCCAGTCAAAACATCAGAAGAACCCATTCTGATGTCTTGATTTCATACCTTCAGATCAAGTACAAACAGGAAGAACTTAGTATTGTCGGCAATGTACCTTCTGGCCAATGCCCCAGAGATACCCCTGTTCTTTTCTCTCTGCTCAAACTAGAAAGAGTAGCTTGGATAAACCATCTTTGACATCATTGTCATCTTTTTGGTTGGAGAACATGTGTAGAATGCAAGATGAGAACTGTGGATTTTTATTCACATATCCCAACCCAGATTCTCTTGTCATCGTCTCCTGGAAAGACTTGGAAGAAGTCTTTGTCTGTATTTCCAGATGTCTGCTTAGATTCAGTGGGGCAAAAGTCATCCTTTGTAACTTTCCTTTTGTACCGAGAGCCACCAAGAATACTTGGACAGATATAAACTACTGTTTTGGCATAGGTTGGTAGCTTTGCTGGAACACCTTCCTCAAAACAAGGAGGTTGCCTATTTCTTCTTTATCAAAGTGGATCATGTTTCCTGAGAGCGGATCAATTCAGCTCAATAGGCAGCCATTTGCTTTGGGTCCCTTGTTGGGAGAAATGCAGCAGATATTTATTTATTTATTTATTTATTTTATTTTATTTTATTTTATTTTATTTATATCCCACCTATCTGGTTGTGTCAGGACCACTCTAGGCGGCTAAAAACATTAAGAGATAATATAGAAAATATACGTATAAAGACAATTTTACATAAGTAAAACTATTAAACTAATAATAATAAAACTTCTTCTTCTTCTTCTTCTTCTTCTTCTTCTTCTTCTTATTCTTATTCTTATTATTATTATTATTATTATTGGCTGCACTTTACAGCTTTGAATCAAGATACTAAAGCCAGAATTAAGAATATGAATATTTCACAGTACTGTCCAAGTGCTCTTTTCCCAGCAAAAAAAAGATAGTAGCTTTAAATATAAACTGCTGGATACTGCTCACTAGGTTGGAGTTGCAGCCTCTTCCTTGGAATAATGTTCTAATGGTTAGTCAGTCATGTTCCTATGATTGAAATCATCAGTAAATACTATTTTCTTTTACTAGAAGTCTTCAAATTTGACCATTGGGTCCTTTGCATCATTCAGGATAGATATGAAATAGAATTTCATCCAGAAGTCATAGTCTTCCATCACTACCTTTACAGAATGTATACTGCTTTTGGAAAAACCCTGTGCAATACAGCTGTTCTCACCAATTAAAAGCAGGGTTGTTTTTTTTACTTAAGGTACTTCATACTTCCAAAAAGAGATCAAGGTTTCTGACCTTGATTTGAGACCTGTAGAACATGGTATTTCTACAAAACAATTTGAATGGTTATGCTTGCTGATATTCCTCCCTGATCCAGGAATGAGATTGGTTTGCCAGGATCAACTTGAAGGTCTCCTATTTTACATGTCAAAGTCCATCAGCCCTATCACAACTCAGTTTTGCTCCCACCAGCAGCTAGTTCTAAGAGCATGTTCTCCCTTAATGGCTCTTTACTGCACCAGGGTTTTTTGCAAAGACTATGGTGGTGATAGCCACAGAATGGTATATGCGTAGTTCTTTCCTGTTGCATCGGATATTTGCTTGTATTTTTTCTGCTCCAGCACTCTTATTGCTCACTTTCATATCATGATGCTTTCCTTTCTTGGATTCAACGTAAGCATAGACAAACTAAAGTTATGTCTTTGAGGAACATTGTTTTCATTGTTCCAGGTGGTTTAACTAAATTCCTAATCCGAACTTTGTTAGAGGCAGGCCATGTTAAAGGGCATTCTCCTCCCGCTTCCCCAGCTAAAAAGAAACTCTGAGTTTCAAAAAGGCAGAAAAGGAGAAGGCAAGAGGGACCACAGAATGTCTGTGACCATCCTCTGTTTTAAGAGATGGGTCATAATTTACAAACTGCCCACTGAGAAGGAGCTGGAAATCAACATGCATGCTGCAGCTTTCCATCTAAGAAGCTAACCTGGCCTCTACACCATCAGTCATGTGAATTTGGGACATTGATAACAGCACATAAGTTTTGAACTACCCAAATGAACTTGATTCACAGCCTTGAAAAAGTTGAGTTGTCATCAATATTTCAGTGTTTGTTTTTTGTTTTATATTCTTAATGGTCAGTTAAAGGTATCACCTGCTCATGAATTGTATTGTTTCCATGACCAGGCGGCTTTTTCCTGAGTTTTTGTTGAAATATGCTTTTTTTCTTCTTGCTCATTAGGATTTCTGGAAGGCACTGCTCTAAATTTTTCTGCTTTCTGTTACTGTGTGCTTGGGTCTTCGCAACCCTTCTTTGTCATCTTGGCTAACTGCCTTAACCATTGGAGGGCTACATTTTGCTTGGTTACACTGGCACCCCCTACAGTTTTGGTTTCTCAAGTGCAAGTCCTTATTCAATCCAAAATAACTTGACCTTACAGTTTCCAAACCTTGCTGGCCAAAGTAAGGTTTGGGGAGAGAAAAGGCGAAGTATTGCAGCACTTTAAAAATTAACAGAAATATTTTCTGGATCAAAATCCATTTCTTTGGATGCAAAGAGTGCAAATACATGCCCTTGTATTCATCTCCATGGTGGTGAGACTCACGTTTAGCTAAGGATACAAATAATAGATAATAGACAGTACTTAATTAGCACAGGAATGGGACTATGAAGCACTAACCAAGGTAATCTTGGATGCACATCTTAATGAGGTGAAGGGGTTCTGAGTGTGCCCGTGGAGCTGAGAGGAATTCCATTAGCAGGCTAGACTCCATTACAAGCCTGGACTTCTATCAGGGTCATCCAAGGAGGAATGGTCACAGCTGAAACACCAAACTAAGATGCACCCACCCTTTTCAAGGCAGTTATTGGGCAGTAGCCAACATTCCCTCTAATTTCCAGCCCCTCTGGGCAGGGCTTAACTCCTCACCTATGTGATACTGCCTCCACGCAGGGTTCCTTTATGACCAGAACCAAAGGGGCTGAAAATGATCACGGTGGGTGGATGGAAAAGCCCTGCATGTAGGCGGAGTCGGAGTCGTGTGCAGGCAGACACACAGCTTAGAGGAAACCTTGGCAGTAGCACGTCTGATTTCACTGTTTTGCTATTTTACACCCAACCATCTGTACTGTACATATATTTGAAATTCTGAATTTAGAATCTGATGGAACAGCTTTCATGGGCTATAGTACAACAAATCCCGTGCTATAACAAGTGTGATAGTCTTTAAGGTGCCCCACAACTCTTAGTTGTGTTTGCTGCCACTGGAAAGTGTTCAATAACTATTACCATTTTCATATTTTAAGAGCTTGGAATTGTAGCCCCAGTTACAACTACCATTTTCTCAACATCATAATTCTAGCGCTAGCTGATTAAATGGTACAATTATGAAAGAATAGGGGCAGACACTGGGAATCTATAAAATCATAGAATAGAATCTTGGATTTGGGAAATAACAAAAGACTATCAGAATGCACAGAATCACTCTCATTCTTTTTATGGTGATCCTTTTTGATTCAGTCCAGAGCAAATCATTGCAAACAGTTGCCTGCAAAGAACATTACTGCAGTTTACTTTGCCAGGATGTATTAATTAGCATCAGTTCTTTATTGAAATGCACCATGTTTCTTACTTGTCTGTTTCATTTTTGTCTGTCTTCTAAGTAACAGTATGGAAAGAGTAATTGAAATAGCATGTTGGTTTCGGCTTCGTGATTGTTTAGACCTAGCTTCTGAAATCTTCACCAAGTGGATGAACAATCCTGATAAAGGGTAATTATTATCTATGTACCTATGTATGTATATGGAGTGAGTAAGAAATTGATAATTGGGGACGGCATGATTTCCCCAGGGATATAGTTCTAAATATTTCCTCTTCTGTCAGGTCAGAGACCTTAAAATAATTTTATGTTATCCTTTATTGGTACAAGGTTAGCCCTGCTATTTAACAGAACAAGATGGTTACCCCAGCTTTAAAGCCTTGTGAACGTGCAATAAAGTTATTTGATTGCTGTTTTTACTGCCAAATATGGAAAGACGTATTTGGCAGGATGTATGAAATTTCCTGTGCTTGAGGCAGTAAATAGCTTGGGCTGTTTCATACTGAAACAAATGCTGAAGTTGGGAGAGATGAGTATCAAGGCCGCAGAATGGTTGAATATGTGACATAGTTATACATACACTCCTGTTTCTTCTTAGCCTTTGGAATGCTTTTTGATTTCACGGGACAGTTATTGGGAGAGATGAGTATCAAGGCCACAGAATGGTTGAATATGTGACATAGTTACACATACACTCCTGTTTCTTCTTAGCCTTTGCACCTTTGTTGTTAACTACCATATTTTTCCGTTTCTAAGACATACACACCCCTACTTTTCTAACCCAAAAATTAAGAAAACTTAGCTTTCAGTATTCAGCCTCTGGGCTCAGAATGCTTGGACATTAGGAATCCCTGTTGCATCTGAGCCTACAAGCTCCACCTCCAACCAGGTGTGTTCCAATTGGTTTGTTCAGCATCAGCTGACTTCAGTTCCATAAGGCTCATGATTGGAGGAAGCTAAGTCTCCTGACTGTAGGAAGCTAAGCCTCATGATTGAAGGAAGCCTGTTTACAGAGGCAAGGTATGTGCCGTTTTGGTCTCTCCTCAGCTTACTTCCATGTATATGACGCCCCTCAATTTTTAGTGTAATGATTTTAGGAAAAAAGTAGCATCTTATACATGGAAAAATACGGTATATATAGTCTGTCACCTCTGTGCTCATCCTCTATTTGTGAATGGATTGTGAAACATGTCTTTTGTAGTGTTTGTGTACAGAGAAAGCAAACTGCATGTGAACACCTGTCTGGTTATTTGGTTGTCTTTCATTGAACTTTCTGCCTAGGTCCCTTTTTGATCACTAGTCTTCTAAATTAAACTGTTATCATTGTTCTTTTATTTTTAGCCTCTCCCCCCCACACTTTTTCAGAATTTGGATAATTTGTCCCAAGCTTTACATTTGGACATATTTTTCTTTATTTATATCATTTTAGCTTTTTCTTTTTCTTCTATGATTCAGAGCAATAAACTGTTGCACCAGTAATAAAAGCAACACCAACAGTTATAAAAATCCATTCATGTGATAATCTAAAAGTATAAAACTTTTGTCATGTAAATTTGCCATTTTTACCTCATAATACAGCACTGTTCAATACAGTGGCAACCCATATAGAATTTGTTAAATCTATAATGTATTGATCATCATCTGCTCAGGTTGAGGTCCCACTGAGTTCAGTGTAAGCGAGTGCATATTTGATCTGAGTGGGATTCTCTTTCCCAGAAGTCAGCTACCTTGGATGAAGGGGGTGGGGAGTTCAATAAAAGAAGGAGCTAAGAAAACTGTAGGAGAAGTAAAAGCTCTCTAGAAGAAAAAGAAGAAGAGAGAATCAAGAGGCCAGGGCTGGGGCCAGGATACAGTAGTGCTCCTTGCAGCGAAACAGAATTTCTGCAGGAAAAGCTTCCCTTCAAAGCAGGTTCCTTGTTCGTCCATGACTGGCCTAGCATCAACAGCTGTCAGATTGCCCTCATTACCTCCAGCTACACTGGTATCGGATACAGTACTATCACACAACCTTGTACGAACCCACTGGAACAACACCATGCAAGCCTCTGTCTCCTGGGGCCCTGGAGTAGTTCTGCAGTGACTTGTCCAGCCTCTGACTCCACTCCTGGGGTAACTTAAAGGGCTTTCGGCCCTCCTCTGGTTGCTACATACCTGTTGGCTGGGATCCTGTCAGGACATATCTTGTAGTAGTAGTAACTCCAGTAGCATCTACCAAGAGACTGGCTAGGTCCTTCTTCCTACTTCTGCAGTTAGGGCTTAGCCCCATCCAGGACTTATTCTTCCCTCAAGGACAGAGCATTGTGGAAGGGCCTCAGTTGTCAGCCAATAAGACCCTGCAGAGCCAAGGAGATGTTCCCAGAATCAAGGAAATTGCAAGACACAATAAAAGTGCAGTTTTATTAATCATTTGGGAGTCTCTAAAGTGTTTCTAGAGCATAAACATAAACATGACCTCCAGTGCGCCCTCCTGTTTGTAAGGGGAAGAGAGTTACATCCATACACAATTGACCTTAATGGGAAACGGAATCTAATTTACTTAGAATTTTATCAGTCATAGTGACAGACTTCATGACTTTGTATCTGATTTTCATTATGAAACACTGTGTTGTGCTATGCTAGTTATAACCCCTGTTCTCTATTTCAGGGGCCCTGCTTGTTTTAGCAGAACTGTTTGTTGCTATGGTCTTCAGCTGGGTGGTGACAAGGAATGGGACTTTTTATGGAATATATACAATAGTACTGGATCAGAAGAAAAATATAACGCATACTCTGCCCTCAGCTGTACCCACGAGCCATGGTTACTTCAAAGGTGACCTCATTAACGTACTTTTTCACTTAATTTAAAGATAAGTTATGATATGCCGAGAACATTAATGGATAATCAATAAAATTATGTACTTCATTCAGTTTTTCTCTTGATGAGTTGCTAACTAATTAGTTTTGTGATCCAAGGATGAGGACAAGAATATTTTTTTATCTTATTTATTTATTTAAACATTTTTATCCCATCTTTCTCCTTAAAATGAACCCAAGGCAGCAGCATTAGGTCTTATTTTTTCTTGTTTACAACTACATTTACCTTACCTGTGTAATCAGTTAGATTATCAAGAAGAGGTGGCAAGAATACACAGAGGAATTATACCAGGAAGATCTGGATGTCCCAGACAACCCAGAGAGTGTGGTTGCTGACTTTGAGCCAGACAACCTGGAGAGCGAAGTCAAGTGGGCCTTAGAAAGCATGGCTAACAACAAGGCCAGTGGAGGTGATGGCACTCCAGTTGAACTATTTAAAATCTTAA